ATTTAGTAGTAACTAAATGCCTACGATAATACCGGAATTACACAGAGTAATCTAAAAAATTTCGCATAAAGATTTTTAAGTATTGAAAAATCTAAATTGTACCTATATATTTTTTTTGATGTTGCTGCTAATGCCGCCCCTTTACGGTGCCGCCTGATGCGGCCGCATCCTCGCATCATATCACGGCACGGCCCTGACTGTAGGTAACATTTCGAGACTTTTAAATAAACAATTATGCGCATTGGTCGTCTTAAATGTGCTAAAACTGTTCAGTTAATAATTAATACTTGAAATAGTTTACTTTTCTCAGTGCAGGGACCTGTTTGATTTCTGAAGCTAGATGCCATTTTTTGGTAACATTGCGAAGTTTTCATATATAAGTATTTAACGATTAGTTTATAGATTAGAATCGAATTTGTACTGTTATTAGGTCATGCAATTAGGAACATTACTTAGCTGGACTAATTAGACTTGAATTCTGTTCCCTAGCGGACAATCCGTGTTCCTTGGCAACAGGGCCGGCCCGACTTTGTTTGCCGCCCCGGGCGAAGATATTTTTGCCGCCCCCTTTTTATTCAGCAGGAATAGGAAAAAAAGTAGTTTAACGTAATTATTTTTTTCAAAATTTTTATAATAGTTTTTTATGCTTTAGAATTACTAGGTAAGGCAATATACTGTTAAATATAAATACATAATTGCATCACTTGTCAATGATTATATCCTATATATCGGATATAATATATATTATTATACACTAAAAATAGCGTCACTATTATAGTGAGTATAATTAAACAATATTTTAAAATTACAAGAATTCTTTGGTTTGTAAAAATTTACTTTCGCAATATTCCGCGATAGCTCAGATTATTACATACATAATTGCTGTTAAAATATCGTATTTTTAATGTAAAAGTATACAGACAGAGTGCACCCGAACATTTTAAGTAACTTAATTACTTCAGGTGAATCATCTTTAAAAGTAAATTAACTTAATAATTAAGTAATGAGTTTAGCGGACTTTGGCAAAACCGAATGCTGCTGTGATGCACGTCAGAAGATTGATTTTAGACCTCTAAAAACAATGTTTAGATGTAAATACAAAAATTAAACCTCATTTTCATATATTGGTACATATTGTTTAATTATGGTATAATTATTATACCTGCCTACGATGGTTCTTTTTGCAAGAATTTGGAAAAGGTTGCTCCTAGTACTCGATTTTCCGCCGCACGCGCCCTTTTGTTTTTATAAAAAGTTCCTAAATCTTTTTTGCGTTTTTCAGACATTTTATACTTCTAATTATCAAATTACCTTAGCAATGCACTGATTTTACAACGCATGATCGTGATATAATATTTGTCAATTATTAATTGTCAATTGTCAAACAAAATTATAGAAAACTACAGGATATGATCGAAGAAACGAATGAAAGAGAGCGCCAGGGTCGTCTTCCGAGAGCGCCTCTATTAAATATTTGTAAATTATCTAAACTGCATTTATCGAGCGTAATACTTGAAAAAATCGCCAATCGAAATTTTTTTAGTATGTTGAATAAAATTGATTATTATTAACAAATCATTATGCCGCTCTGGGCCGTTGCCCGGTTCGCCCGTACCTCGGGCCGGCCCTGCTTGGCAATCGCCGATTGTGGTGACTATACAGGTAGTCAGGTGGTATCGGTGTGACCTAATCTTATTTACTCATAAACTTTTACGACGTTTAGCACTTTGTGACTTAACCGTGCGTGGGCCACCCGCACTTTTCAAACTTTTTATTATTTATTTTTTGTTTTCCGTTTTCCTGATTTTGATTCACTTGCCTCTGATAACTTGCCGGATTCTTAAATTCGTTTTTGGTACTTGCGTTTGTATCGTTTACACTGCTTAGGAGGGTTCTCGTTAACGACCAACCTATCTCTTCAAGTGTTAGGACAAGACTGGCATCAGACCTATTAGAATTTACATCACACAAATTGAATGAAAATAAATTTGTCGTAATCGTATTTGTGGACCTACAAAGGGCTTTCGACACTGTCGTTATACATATACTACTACGCAAATTGGAAAGTATAGGATTTAGAGGCCCAACCTACCAACTTAAGCAAAGTTATCTGAAAAATAGGAAGCAATTCACTCAAATTGAAGATGTCAGCAGTGATACAGTAAGTACAAATATGGGAGTTCCACAAGGGTCGGTTTTAGGTCTGGTACTATATATTTTGTATGTGTACAGTGTGAGATTAGTGGAACTAAAGGCTAGATAATTTAAATTTGCAGATGACACTTCTTTGGCAGGAAAAAATTTATTAGAACTAGAACAAATAATTAATGAAGACTTAAAACTATATAATAGATGGCTGGCTGTGAATAAATTAAGTATTAACGAGAAAAATACTTTATACATATTAATTAAGCAAAAAAATAAACCTTAAGCTTAATGGTGAATCTTTAAATAAAGTATCTAATTACAAATACTTATGACTAAACATTGACTGCAAGCTAACCTGGGAAGAGCAAATAAACTCCATAATCAAAAAATTGATTCCTATCATTGGCGTGTTCTATAGAAGTAGTTACCTACTAAATACAAAATGGAAGCGGCAGGTATATTATAGTTTTGTATGTTTAAATTTAACCTACTACAAAGAATACAAAATAAGGCAATAAAATCCTGTTTAATTAGGACTCCACAACACCTACTGTGCAAATATAACACCACAAAACATATAAACTTTAACACGTTAAAACATCTAGAACAATTGAAATTGGCTTTCAGTTGTAAACATAATGTTCACAAATTAAATCACTGTGCAATATAACAGAGACTTTCATAAATTCTCAACAAGGAACAGTGAAGACTTAAGAAATGAACAGAGGCTGACTAACAAAACACAAATCTCGCCAGTTTATCAAAGCATACAATCCTATAATAGACTTCCGCAAGAATTAAAACAAATAGACGAAAGGTATAGTTTTATAGTGAAAGTAAAGGCATATCTGATCTCTGGACATATTTCTTAAACTTGTTTGCATAGATAAAAATAAGATATATTTTATCTTTTTGTTATATTATAAGTTGTTGCCTAATTTTAGGTTTTTTTTTGTATGTTGTATATGCTCGACCAGCACCCTGTAGTTCCGCTCACTATCGATATGTAGTCGTGTCGCTGCTCTGTCTCTGGCGGAAACTGAGCAAGGGAACAACAGGTACAAACAAAATGTTTAAAATAAAAATTAAATGATTCGAGGGGGAAATCAATCAGTACTAAAGTTGGTCCTCATACTCTTCTCCTTATAGGGGAAACATTAGGTAATTATTTCCACCTGTGACTGTTTCTCGACGAACTCTTTTTTTCGGTTGAACACTCCCGTTTGTAGTAAACTGCTTGACTGTACGGCGAATTTTATCGGGAAAACCATGGAGCCTACACAAGGAGCCCGAACTTAATAGGGAAAATTGACAAAACCTGTCCAAAATGCACAAATTAAGTCTTTTTTTTCACCACCAGCGGCGCTGATTGTCGATGCGTCCGTATGACGTGAAAATAGTATAGAAAATACTTGTGAAGTAAGCAAGTAAGTTTTGACAATTGATTTGCAATAATGTTTTGACGTACGAATCGTTTTGTTATAGGCCTCGGTACCAGTTTTTATAACTATTTTTGAGGTCATAAATAAATAAATAATGCGTTACGCGTCCACTCTTTTAATATACCTAAGAAGTAGGAACCTATTTCACATATAAATAATACGTGTTGGGCATACGTCAAATAAATGTATAGTAAATTTAGAAAAACAGTAAATAGATGCCTAAAACAATTCCCATTCTGACTTTTTTATAAAAACATCCAGAAGAACGCATTAAAATGTCATACATGACGTCTCCATTTTGAGGTCTTAAACAGTTATTAATATTATTTCAGTTAGAAGTAAGAAAAGAGAATAATCAAGAAGTGCACTTTATTTTAACGATTGTATGACATTTGACAACTGCCAACTTACTTAAAACTAACTTCAGCGCGTGACTAAAAACCTATTGCCAACTTCAGCCCCTTGACTAAAACGCCATAAAGCCACAACTTGTCAATGTGTATTTAAAAGGTCACTTAGTGTCATGGAAACATGTACGATAATGGACGTTTTAAAGGTGGTAGTAGAAAAAATAATTAGGTTCTTTATCAAGCTTCAGAATGTCTGGAAATGCTCGTTATGAGAAATAAGATAATTAGACTATAAAATAGATTCTAGCTTAGTTTCTCAACGCTAATATTGGAAAAGTTTATATTTAGTTGTACTGAAATTTTGATTTTGCCTCCAATAAACTAAATTTAACTGATTTCGGGTAAGGATTCTACCTATTATCTTTACTTTCACTGTAAAAAACTGCTTCTATCGGAGTCCATTTTCAAGGGATAAATTTCGATTTACACGTAAAAATTTGACATTTGACATCCAACACAGTTAGAATGAATACTCTATTGTTTCATAGATGTGGCTCTAAACAAATATTTAATTTAAATAATTTTTAGATAATAATTTGTATTTGTCGTAGAACAAGTATATTATGCAACTCGTTTATAAACTTTTATAGACATATATAAATTCGTGACTATAATGGCGTTTATAAAACCTGATGCATAATAATATTATAAATATATTATACTATTAAAGTATAGTACTACTACTACTACTACTACTACTACTTATACAAAATTGTCAACGTACGTTAACAATTTTGTATAAGTAGTCATTTACGGTACCGCCATCTAGGATAGATTGTCATAAGGTTATAATATCGCATGCTGGAGCTGGTGGTCATAGCTTTGACTCTTAGGAGAGCGTCGGAAGCGTTTGTCTTTTTTATAACAACATATCCTTAAAAAATAAAACAAAGAAAAACAATTCAATTTTTAAAACTTAAAAAGTACTTCTTGAAATATTCTTTTTTTAATTTTTTTGAGGCATACTGTTTGTACCTAAATGCATCTGTTTTACTTTTAGTGCTACACAATAAGTATGACTCTTCTAAATCATCAAGTTACAAGAAAAATGGTACCAATTTTGCAATTCAATATGGATCCGGTAGCTTGAGCGGATTTTTGTCCACTGATGTTGTTAATGTAAGCATAAACCAAAAACATTATTATATACAATTTTTAAAACATTTTAAAATGTTATGTTATGTTAATTAATACTTTATACTAAAGGTTTATTCTTTAGTTCCAAATTATCAAAATATTTTTTTTAGGTTGGAGGTTTAGACGTAAAGGACCAAACTTTTGCTGAAGCCATGTCCGAACCAGGTTTAGCTTTTGTTGCTGCCAAATTCGATGGTATCTTAGGTTTAGCATACAGCAGAATTTCTGTAGATGGTGTTAAACCAGTCTTTAACAACATGATTGATCAGGGATTAGTTTCATCGCCTGTGTTTTCTTTTTATCTTAACAGGTATTTTTTAATAATAATAATCATTAAATTGCAACAAAAATATGTTTAAAATTTGTATAAAAATTCATGATATAATTTGAAGACATGACCAGGTGTTATGTAAAATTTTTAATACTCCCAATAAGAGACATGGAACATTGGAATTGTAATTAAAAATTTATTTTTAAATAAAAACTTTGAACCATAATTACTTGTCACTAACCCCTAATTAAGGGTTAATGACAAGTAATAAACTTAATAAATAAAAAATAAATTTAAAATTACATTCCTATGTTTCTGTTCTTTATTATTAAAAATGTAACCCCTTTATCCCCTCATGACTTCAATTGTCCTCAAAATTAATTAAGCTGTTTTTAAGTATTACATAATCAGGATATAATTGTTCTTTGATTTGTTAATAATATAGAAACTTTGAGAGTGTTTTAAAATTTAAAATTTGATATTTATTAAAAGTTTTATCATTTTGGGGTTTCATGATTTTCTTATTTTTGGGGGTGAAGTATGCTTACGTAAGTAATGCTTGAACGCCTCTCTAATAAGCATTTTAGTCTAAAAATTTTGGCAACACGTTGCAACTCTGTGTTTGTTGCTCCAATATTACACATCTAAAAACAGTTGTTATGAAAACAAAACATGGTAGCTGCAGCTATCTGTTTAACGTGGTTGACAGATGTATTTTCTGACCGTTTGCGACAAAAAATTAAAACAAATTTTAAGCCTAATTTATCATTAGATATATCTAATATATTAACAATTATTGTGTTAAATCCTTTTACCTTAAATAAATTAAAATTCAATTCAAAAAAACTTAAAAAATACTAAATTATTTTTATGCTTAACGTTACAATCGCCTGGTATATTTTTTCTATTATCTGTATGTTTTTAAAATTTTTTAATATACCATCCTTAAACGATGTTTATAATAATATTGTCCACAGATAATGCTAAAAGAAAAAGCAGTAGTGCCTCAATATTTAATAAATATTATGTATACTATATTAAAATATAATTTTCAAGTAAATTATTAAAAAATTAAATTTTGCGCTTATTTTGAAATACGTTTTACAATCTCTAAAATATTACTAAGATATTAAATAGTACAAGTTATATCATATATTATATGCGCGTAAAAACATGATAAGACCAAAAATGATAGTAATCTGACTTATTTTGTTCGTCTCTTTTTCATTCTTACACAATATATTAACACTTAGAAACCCTGACGCTCCATCTGGCGGCGAAATGATTATGGGCGGATCAGATCCAAAAAAATACAAGGGCGACTTCACATACATACCCGTATCGAGACAGGCTTACTGGCAATTCAAAATGGATTCGTTAAAGATTGGCTCTAAAGGATTCTGTAACAACGGTTGCCAAGCGATCGCCGATACCGGTACCAGTTTGATTGCCGGCCCCGTAGAAGAGATCGCCGCAATCAACAAGGCTATCGGAGCGACCCCGCTCGCCGCTGGAGAGTGCATGGTGGACTGCAACTTGATTCCGAACCTACCGAAAATCGACTTCGTGCTCGGCGGTAAATCTTTCACGTTGGAAGGAAAGGATTACATATTAAGGGTAGGTTATTTAATATCCTTGCTCGCGCAGTGTCTCCAGATGTTTTAGGATAATTTTGAGACATAATATTATATTATAATTTAGACAATGAACAATAGGTTTAGGGGCGTCTAGTACAATTTTAGATGTGCTTATCATTTAAAATTTTAGGGGTGTAACTCACCATCGAAGAAGGATTAAGTGATGATATATGCAAAAAATATCAAATATTTTTGTTCTAAATCCAGTGGCATTTTTTGCACGCTGCTTTGTTATAAATAAAAAAATTAAAACTTTTATTCAATAGGTAATATAAAAAAAGATCTATAGCAAATTATTTAAATCAATTAATTTTTGGTAAACCCTGTATATTAAAGTTCCATATTTTATTTGACAAACGACCCTTAATTTTTTAATAACCTGTTGGCAGGTGAAGTTCTGATATAAACTGGACCAGCCCATCAAAATTAGTTAAAGAAAGATAACTTGGGCGTCGTTTATAAATTACGTAAAACGATTTTTCATTGTTTTTAGATTATGGATTATACATAACATAATAGTTTACACTCCCTGAAATGCCTGTAAAAAATAATACACATATTCCCGATATAGTAATTTCCCAGTGCCCCCAGACCTACGTCATTTTAGTACTGCTAAGATTTTTTAATACTTGTGTATGTATATGTAGTTAAAAACGTATGCGTACTTGCTAGCTTGAAAGCAGGGCCCTTTTACAGATACAGCCCGGACAACAATCGGGATTTCCTGGTGAAGTCATGATGATATCACAACGTGATTTTTTTTATCACGCTGTGATAACCTGAGTGCATACACATGCTTCATCACAGTGATATCATGTAGAACTCACGGTGTGATATTTGCAAAATTTACGCATGCGTATGAGCCCTGCGAACTGCGAATTTAAAACCTAGTTTGTTATTCACATTACACCGTTATAATTTATAAAACGTTGTTTGAATATCACGAATGTTGTCCGGGTTCAATTAAAAAAGATTTTCCAATGTTTAACAAAACGTTCACCCGGACAACATTCGTGATATTTATACGAACATCATCATCGTGATTTTCTAAATTTTATTAATTATACGGAAGTCACCGCGTGATAAATGAAAATCATACGAACGTGACGTCGTGATTTTCACAAATTTTATTCATACAGACATCATCCGGATGTCACTGCGTGAGAAATGAAAATCATGTCGTGATTTTTTGTGCCATCACTGTTTGCGATTGACCGATGGCCTAAAAAATCACGACATGATTTTTTATGCTATTGGTGCACCGAAATGTTTGGATATTTATTTTTGCGCCACATTCGTACATTGAAAGAAAAAGTATGTTAACGATTGAATCAACAGTTTAACGTTCAATATTTTCTTGGATTTAAATTAACTATATATAGCTAATTTAAATCCAAGAAAATATTGAATGTACCTATTTAACCGCAAAAACTGTTGATTCAACATAATTTTTCTCTTAGTGTACGAACGTAGCGCAAAAATGATTATCCAAACACCGTTGGCATAAAAAATCACGACATGATTTTTTGTGCCATCGGTCAATCGCAAACAGCGATGGCATAAAAAATCACGACATGATTTTCATTTCTCACGCAGTGACATCCGGATGATGTCCGTATGAATAAAATTTGTGAAAATCACAACGTGACGTTCGTATGATTTTCATTTATCACGCGGTGACTTCCGTATGATATCAGTATGAATAAAATTTGTGAAAATCACGACATGATGTTCGTATGAATAAAATTTGTGAAAATCACAACAATATCATAATGATAACGATAACATAATGATATCAGTATGATAACGATATCATAATGATATCAGTATGAATAAAATTTGTGAAAATCACGACATGATATCCGTATGAATAAAATTTTTGAAAATCACAACGTGACGTTCGTATGATTTTCATTTATCACGCGGTGACTTCCGTATGATATCAGTATGAATAAAATTTGTGAAAATCACGACATGATGTTCGTATGAATATCACGAATGTTGTCCGGGAGGCACTAAAGCCACATAAAAATAGTACTTGGTTACGTTAAAGTACAGGCCGCGCGTTATAACTTGGCGAGAACGCCCTCTCAGTTGACGTAATTTCGTAATGGTACCGCCCTTCAAGTTCAGTTTAACACGTGTTTGGCAAAGCAGTGGCACGTATTCAATTTTAGTAAACAAGTGCCAACAGCTACGCCCACATGCGTCGAGCTTCGCCAAGTTATAACGCGCGGCCTGTAATACTGCTGATTTTCATATATGTTTTACACCATATTATTAAAAACTAACATTCATTATTGCCAGACGCATTTCAGGGGGCTTAACTTTCGCCAGACGCTTTAAAGCTCGAGAAAAATGGCTGAACCTAATTTATAGTAGTACTTCTGATTTTTTTATATATTATTTGGTTGAATATTTTAAGACTTTTTTAATTAGCCAGACCAATCAAAGGACTTATCCCCCCACACGTTTTAAAACTCGAGAAAAAAATGGGGGGAACCTACGTTATAGTATTACTGTTGCTTGGGAACGCTAGTAGTCCTTAATTTTATATATATTATTTGGGTGAATTGATTTGAAGGGGAGCCTTTGCAGGCAGCACGTAGGCACACATACGGCCCATTGTGCTAACCCCCTTTTGGTGAAGCCCTGCCTTACCTTACGAGCCCGTTAAATAAACTGACAAGTTAAAAGGTAACAGGAGATTAGTGTCGAAAATCTTGCACCGTGATTTTTTAACTATGGTTTAAAATTTAACTAGTGATCTAGGGAATTTGACTAAAAAATGGAAAAGATTGGTGCTAATAACTAACTTCACACTTATTTGTGACGCAAATATATTTTGACGTTAAGAGTTCGATTTTTTATAATCTGTCCATGGAGCCTACACAAGGAGTCCGAACTGCATGTAAACAAGAATCTTCCTAAAGAAAGAAGGCGTTGGTGTCCCGTTTATTCTGAAACAATTGACTAATTTGTACCGAAACGCTACCAAAAGAGCAGACGTCAGGACGCATCAACAATCAGCGCCGCAGGTGGTGAAAAAAAAGACTTAATTTGTGCAATTTAGAGGGCAGGTTTTGTCAATTTTCCCTATAAGTTCGGGCTCCTTGTGTAGGCTCCATGAATCTGTCGTTCGATTCTTTATCATCTGTGGTTCGATTCTATTTCATGTACGACCGATTCAGTTGATGGTAAGAGAGAATAATATGGATACAGAACCTGAAAAAAAGGGGGCGCTCCTCAAATTTTTTAGAAAATAAAAAAAATAATTTAATTAATCTTGTGGATACAAGGGTATCATTGAAAACAAAGAGACAGATAGGGCTAAAACAATTAGAGCAGGAAATTAACAATAAAAAGGATGTAAAAGAAATTACTCTTTCGGATTTAAAAATTTTAGAAGAAAAAGAAAAACTTAATTTATGTATTATTATAATAAACAAGAAGTGACTATTTATTTTATTTTAATTTTAAATAAGTATAAATTAAATAAAACATCAAAAATATTATTCACATTAAATTTTATAAATTCGCAAAATAATCTTGTATTAATTGATTTTGAAACATAATGCGATCTTGTGGATGAGTAACAACAGGGTACCCCAGTTCATGGCATTAATATCATCAGGCAATGGCGGCTCTGGTTTATTCATGTCTCTAGCAATACTATGTAGTACAACTGCAGCTGGAATAATGGACAAAACTGTATCTAGTTTTAATCTTAAGCCATATGCAAAAACTGGAAACCTTTTCCAAATTTCAAATACTCTTTCTATTATATTTCTGGTTCTTAGTAGTGACTCATTATAGAGTTGCTGACCTCTATTCCTATAACTATAGTTATTGGATTTGATAAAGATGTCAATAAATAATATCTTTGGAAAAAACAGATCTTGAATACTGATGACTTTTAGTACTTTTGAGGTTATAAATCGTTAACGGTGGATTAAAGTAATTTAAACCACCGAAATTGGGTTTATTTTAATAGTAGTTTAGAGGTATTTAAACAAGGATTAATTTACAGTGCAAGCCAGTTATGAAAAATAAACCTGTGTTAAAAAATAAACCACTGTTAAACTTACGGTGCAAGTGGCCATAAAAAAATTGATTCACTAAAAAGAATCAAACTTCCCACCTCTATTGTGTAAAACATATATAAAAACCAGCATTACTATTACATATTAAGACATTTATTGAAAAAATCTTGGCCATATTATAAAGGCGTTTGTCTGGAGGCTTTGGGATCTTGGACCATGAGACCAAAATAATGCGATATAACTAAATTTACCTCTATACAAAAGTTGATAATAACAAAATTGAAAGTTCGTCTTAGATTTTTGATAAAAAAACGCTTTAACACAAAATTTGATATTCGGTTTTTTTTAAGGACAAAAAATTAAACTTCTGTCTGTGACACTTTGCATATGTTTAAATGGTCACATCTTTTCAAGATATGTGCGTTTAAATTGTTTAGTCTGATTAATTTGTAGGTATTTAAAATAAAAATATTTAAAAACAATGACAAAGTTCGACAGTAACTAAATTTGTAGCGCATCTTAATGTTTTTTTAATTGTAACCTACTTAAAAAAATGTTACATTTTCAAATCACAATTAAATGGGTGCACTGAACAATTTAAATGCAAATATCTCGCAACGAAATTTAAAAATATTTTATATATATTTTTATTTAAAACGTGAGTACCATAAACTAGACCAGGGTCGATAATTTTTGAAACAAAAAAAAATTACAGTAGAATGAAACCCATTGGAAAAGGAGGAGAATATAATAAAAAATAAAGAAAAAATAAATTACGGGCGATCTGACTTCGGGAAGTGGGAGGGGGGGGGCTTTAAGGGTAAAAAATGGTTTATCTCGATTTCCGGCAAAACTACAAGTCCTATGGAAAAAAGTTAAATAGAAAAGTTGTAGGTAATAAAAAGATCTAAATTTTTTGTATTTACAATTTTTTCACATAACCTCAAAATTTATGTGAAAAATTCAAATAACCAAGTTTTTGGTTTTTTATTTTTATCTTTTTCAAAAAAAAAAATTTTTCCACGAAATTTGGTGAAAACTTACCTTTTTATGTCCCAAATACACTGTAATTTATTTGATTTGAAATATTTATTATTTCGCCTTATTTTGACTTAATATCAAAAAAGCACCCTAATTTTCAATCGAAAATTCTCGCGTCAAAATATCAGCTTTTTTTAAAAAGTCGGTGTGCTTTTTGTTCGATGAACTCTCTACTTTCTGATGGTGTAAAAAAAATATACATTACTATGGTAAATGTTCTCAGAAAATACAAAAAATATTATAATGAATAACGTATCAGAATGAAGTATCTAAATTCAATAGTATGATTTACATGTATTTTTATATTTTATGAGATTTTCTGACATAAATGTTATTAGAATTTAATAAATAAACTTTTTAACTAAAAAAAATTGCAACAATCACATTTTTTTGATGAAATTGTACATAATAATTAAAATAAATTTTCGAATTCGAGTTTTTTTCGTTATTCATTATAATATTTTTTGCATTTTCTGAGAACATTTACCATAGTAATGTATATTTTTTTACACCATCAGAAAGTAGAGATTTCAACGAACAAAAAGCACACCGACTTTTTGAAAAAAGCTGATATTTTGACGCGAGAATTTTCGATTGAAAATAAGGGTGTTTTTTTGATATTAAGTCAAAATAAGGTGAAATAATAAATATTTCAAATCAAATAAATTACAGTGTATTTGGGACATAAAAAGGCAAGTTTTCACCAAATTTCGTGAAAAAAAAATTTTTTTTGAAAAAGATAAAAATAAAAAACCAAAAACTTGGTTATTTGAATTTTTCACATAAATTTTGAGGTTATGTAAAAAAATTGTAAATAGAAAAGTTGTAGATCTTTTTATTACCTACAACTTTGCCATTTAACTTTTTTCCATAGGACTTGTATTTTTGCCGGAAATCGAGATAAACCATTTTTTACCCTTAAACCCCCCCCCCCCTTCCCACTTCCCGAAGTCAGATCGCCCGTAATTTATTTTTTCTTTCTTTTTTATTATATTCTCCTCCTTTTCCAATGGGTTTCATCCTACTGTAATTTTTTTTCACTTTTTACCATTTTTAAAGGCTTCGGCACTGGTCTAAACGTTAATTTTCCCTGCTTGAAAAAAAAATCAAATTTTGTTCGAAAACTTTTGTTTTATTTCAGTTATATAATTTTAACTTTCACTTCCTGTATCTTAGCTATTATCACCTTTTTGTAAGTATAAAAGTAAATTTAGTTACATCGCATTATTTCGGTCTTAGGAATATGTGGTATCATTTTGAACAGGCATTTCAGGGACACCTTGTATATTAAGAAACACGTCGACCACCTCCCTCAGGGCCAGAGTAAAGCAAAAGGGGACCTAAGGCTAAAAAATGTAGGCTCCCCAAAGCCTCCCCCAAACGTCTTACGAATTTTATGAACTGCTTTTACATAGTTTATTATAAACACTGCAAGCAAAGCTATTATGTACCGACTCATAATAATTATATTTTTTAAGATCTCTCAAATGGGCAAAACAATGTGCTTATCTGGATTTATGGGAATCGATATTCCACCACCAAATGGACCTTTGTGGATTTTGGGTGATGTATTTATTGGAAAATACTACACCGAATTCGATTTGGGCAATAATCGCGTAGGTTTTGCTGAAGCTGTTTAAAAAATGTTAGCTAAATATTTCTTGTTTTTTTTTAATATGTGAACAATTAGTGTTGAAATGTTTTTGAAGTTTGGTACAATAAAACAAATAATAAATATTAATTTTGTAGTATTCAATAAAAACAAAAAATGCAATATACATTGTATATTTTTTGAAATACTTATACACCTAAAATGAAAGCATTTTACATGTTTAGTTTCTCTTGATAATTCCATAAATAAAATATAGTTACATAAAATTTCCATCAATCATCACTACTACTGTCTTTTATTTACACTTTAAATAGTTCAAACTTTTTGCGGATTTACAGAACTGCTTGATGTGACCTTTTTGCTGTGACGTAATTTCTTTACATATGCCTCCACTAGATTTTTAATCTTTGTTGGATTTATCTCACCGGATTTATTATGACATATCTAAAAAATAAAAGTATATCAAAATGTATTTAAAATTTCAAGAAATTAAACCTACTTTTGGTACTGCTCTTCTCAATACATCTTTGTATTCCTCCTTACTAATACGTTTTTTATTGTAGTGTGGTTTTAAAACCAACTTAACTTCTTCAACGACCCTTTCTTGTCTATTTAGTTTTTTTAAATACTAAAATAAAATAATTTCTTAGAGCCGGTTTTTCAATCTTTGGTTAAGTTTATCTTACGGTTAACTTTCTTAGATACTATTGTGTTCAGAATAGTATCTAAGGAAATTAACCGTAAGATAAACTTAACCAACAATTGAAAAACCGGCCCTTAGTAATTATAAATAATTATATTGTATTATTATTTATACCTTATCTTTAACTTGCATTTCTACAGCAGAACTGGGCAAATCATCCAATATTTTCAGATTGTCCTCTTCCAATTTTGATCCAGCTTGTTTACCTAATAGGTAAGTTGCAGTTAAATATTTTATATAATATTAAAATAAAAAAGTAAACATAGTAAAATACTTGCCTTTAGTCGGTGTTATTTGTACTTTCTTGATCTTTTCGTTTTTGCTTTTCTTAGTATTGTATGAGGGCGAGCCGAAAAGTGCGTCAAACGTATTCTTGACTTTGGCAGTGTTAGCAGGTTTTTTATTTTTGTTGGCCTTGGTTGTTATGTCTGGAGGTGGTTCAAAAAGATCTTCGTAATCGCTCGATCCTGGCGAATAGGGCGAATCCAAATCCATCATGTCATCAGTGCCGTTTTGCCTCTTTCTGCCTTTGCTCTTTGAAGGCATTGGCTTGATGGACTTTGTTGGTGGTATTTTAACTGGGCTTGACTTTTGAACGTTGGGTAGCACAATTCTTTGAGGTATAGATGATGGTTGTACTATTGTTGAATTGATGATGTTTATGCGTGGCGCAGTGGAATTAGTAGCCGGTGCAGAATTATTGTGTGAGGTAGGTACAGATGAAAAGGGAACTGTTTGTGCCACCGGTTTTGTGCTTGTCGAGTTAATCGGTTGGAGAACTTGATTGATAAGCACTCCAATTCTTTCCGGCGACTTGAGATCCTGTGCTCCACTTTGGGAGTCGGCTGGCTGAATTTCGGCCACAGGGGGCGTCATTGACTTAAGAACATCCGGCGTGTGACCCTGTTTCTCGTCAGAATTTTTCCTACCTTCGCTAATGTTGTTTTCGTCTTTGGGTTGATTGTTTTGCAACGGCTCTGGAGATGCAGACCGCGATTTGGTCGGTTCAAACGGATCGTAGGCGTCTGGCGAGCTGGGCGGTGAAATTGGCGGCGTGTTTGGACCTTTGTAAACATTCTCGCTGGGTTCTTGGTTGGGCTCGTTTTCTTCGTCGGCCTCGTGCAGCGGGTTGGTAATTGCTCGTACAGTTGGTTGTTTGGCAGTTAGAGAAAATTTAACTTGCGGTTCCGGTGGTGTTTTAGGACCCATTGCATAACTACTGACGGACCTTTCCGGACTCACTGCCAATTGTGAAGAGTCGCAAATGTTAGTTTGGATTCCTCGATTGTCTATTTCCGCATTATCGCTGTCACTAAGAACGATAACGTCTTTGGGCGATGATATTTCCTGGAAAGGGGAACGATCCAGATCTATGATTGCCACCGGTTTAACACCTGACAGGTCTTTTTTAGCGGTCTTTTTTGTTTTTTTCTTTTTCTTAGGAGGTTCATCGGTTGAGGCTTTTCTTCGTTTTTCTCTAGTAGAAATGTCGCGTGTCTCATTCTCTTTGTTAAAACTAACGCTAACCAAAATGTTTTCTCCTGAAGCGAATACTTCCTTAGATGGCGGTGGTGTTTTGTCAAACCTTCGTTTTCTCGACCTATCATCTTTTCTTCTATCTCCATCTTTTCGTTTTTTGTCCTTCCGTTTCTTTCCGGCATCGTTAGCCAAAATCACTTTAAGATTGTGTTGTTTGACTGGTGGCTCCAAAGTTTTGGGTGGCGTCCAGGAAGGAGAGGTACGAGTTCCGTGTGGCGAAGGTGACCTTGAAAACGAAGGAGTCCATTCCTTGGGTGGAGGACTTCTATTCCAAAGTCTGTTTCTTATCGGAGAAGTGTTTAAACGAGGAGGACTGTGTTCTTTTGGTACCTTTTTCTTAGATTTAATCCGTTCCCTGGATTTTCTTGATTTCCGGCTTCTATTTGGCGATCTCTTACGCTTCTTACTTTTTGATCTAGATTTTCTTGGGGAGCTTCTAGTTCGTAATCTGGACCTGCGTCCTGATTTTTTTGGTGTCTGCGATCTCCTCGATCTTGAAACGGAACGGCGAGGCGGAGGCGTTAGCGACCTGCTTTTAGATCTGGTCGGGCTTCTTATATCCCTACCAAATTGATCTTTTTGCCTTCTTGGCTTATCGGCAATCAAAGCGCGCACGTCATATCTTTCAATTTCGCGTCTCCTTTCTTTTTTCTTAATTCGTCTCATTTTTTCCTTTCTTCCTTCCGATTCCTTGTCACGTTTATCTGATTTTTTATCGCGCGATTTGCTTCTATCTTTGTCTCTGTAATGCCTGTCTTTATTACTTTTGCTTAATTTTTTAAATGGAGATTCCTTATTTTGGGTTTCATTTTCCTTATTTCCGTCCGTATTGCCTTTGTCTTTCTTTTTAGTTTTGTTTGAGGAATCATCATCTGCATTACTAGATTCCGCGGCAATTTCTTTGTCAGCATTTTTAGCCAATTTTGATTTGTCTACGATTTCTCCTTCCTCGTAATCTTCCGGCCTGGTAAAGTCCAATTCGCACTCTTTGGCGTTTATTTCCAAAGCGTCTCCACCGTCTGAAGCGGTTTTACGTTCGTGTGATTCGTCAAAATCATTTCTCTCTTCATCAGAAATCATTTCGGTATCCAAACCCTCCAAACCGTCTTCCTTCTTTTCATCCAAACAAGGTGTATAGCTACGTTCCTCTTCACTTATAATGTCCTCCGTCATTTTATTTAAATCAGTTACACCGTACGAGTGCTTGACTTTTCTAACGATTGATTCATCTTCGGAATCGCTGTATAATCCTCCAGAACTGCTATTTTTCTTGTTTTTCTTCTTTTCTTGATTAGTTGGGTTGTCATTTTCATTATTCTCTGGTTCAAGTTGCACTGGTTCTGGCATATAAAAATCGGGCTGTTCTTCGAAATTATACGGTCGCGGTTCTGGATTTGTATCAGGCATATCTTTTTGGTTTTTGGGTTTGCTGCCTGCAGTCCCTGGGAGACACTCGGTATCTTGCGCAAGATTTTGAGATTCCTTCGAGTAAATGCTGAAATTCGGACATCCGTCTTCGGAATCTTCATCGTCGTAATGATCTTTTTCATCGACGAAATCACTTTTTACAGCCTCATCGACTTGATTCGACGACTGAATCGCACCAGATTGGATTTCGGATGCTTTGTTGGAATATTGCGGTGATTTTTCCGGTACGCATTCGGAATTAGAATCTACCGTGGAGGTGACGGCAGCTTCTTCCTTGAAATTTTCTTCCGAATATTTTTCCAAATCTTTTTCTGTGTCGATAACCATTTCTGATTCGCTATCGTTTGTTGCATCTTCTTCGTCGCCTGCAGGCATTTCAATATTTTGCTGTTGTGGCGAAGATGGTTTGATCTCGGCTTCACCCTCATCCATTTTACTGGTGCTGACTGTTTCAATGTCACTGTAAATGTCTACTTCGGATTCGCTGTTTGGAGTATTGCTGCCCGTGTTTTCATCTTTCTGTTTATCATTTTCCGACGAACTTGCGTCGTAGTTTCCGCTAAGCATTCTTTGAGTGTAATCTTGCGGTGTGTTCTCCTGACGACCCTCCCCGCCAAAACGATTTGAATCATAATTACTCGATTCAGATTCTATAGTGGACGTGGGAGTGGAATGTTGGTCTTGTGCATTGCCTCGGTAATCTCCGCCAGTGCTGTTCGAATCTGCTCGGTAATTATTTGACGATGAACCAGTGCCATTGTTTGTATACGAGGTTGGACGTTGTCTGATTGCCCCACTTTGCCTATTTAAATCAACATAATTATTATTTCTTGATTTCTTTTCCATTTTTAATCTGCCATTCTGGTCGACAGAAAAAAGTGTGCTCTTAGAATGAAACGTTTCCTGTGAGTCCAGAATGCTTCCCAAAATATCATTTGAGCTGGAAACCGTACTAGGCCCAACAATTGCCGCTTTTCTTCTTGCCATTCGCCTCATGGCTGTCACATTGGAAAGGTTTGGAGCTCTTCTAGTCATTACGTCAGGCCCATCGATGTAGTCTTCATCCTCGTCGGAAAAATAATCAAGCTGATTTGATTGTCCGAACAGATGGAGTGCAGGTATTCCAGCCCGTTCCCTCAACAATCCTATCGAGTTTCTGATTGGTGGAGCTTTTACGTCGGGTAAATTTTGAGGCACGGTTTTAGGAGCACATATTCCCAATTGAACTGCCAGTCTCTTTTTAACCGTTTTCGGTCTTAGAGTCGGCCTTTGACCCCGGGATTTACTCTTCTTTTTTTTCCCTGCCTTTCGCTTTTTATTGCACCTCTTTTTGACCGCTACAGTTTCGCCTGTAGCTTCATCTATTTTATACACAATTCTGTATCTCACTCTGCGCTTTTTGCAAGGTTTTTTTTTGTTTTTTTTCTTTGTGGTTTTTCTGGGTGTTGTGGTGCTGGATACTCTACTTCTAGTTGATGTTATTGGTTCATCGATTCCGGATGACGTAGAAGGCGTTTCTCTAAGTTGATTAATACGATTTGAGGCGATTCTTCTCCTTACTCTTTCGGTTTGACGAGTTCGTGGTACCAATCTGCCAATAAAAAAACTTCCTTTATTACATTAAAAAAATGTCTAGTATGTTTAAAAGAAATTACCTTTATAACTGCATTCTGGTCTGAGTGTATTTCAACATATTATGTTTCAGGGGTCGTCAATAAAATACGTCACACTCTCTTTTGGTGATTTTAGACCTCTTATGTCACTCATTGTCACAAAGCCATTCATAGGGGTTTTAACCCCCATGAATGCCAGTCTAATTTTTAACTACCAAAATTTAAAAAAAATGGATTACAATTTTTAAATTTAAAATACAAATCGCTTAATTAAAATGAAAAAAATCACTTTCCCTTGTAACATATCGTCAAAATGCGTAACCCCTACTCCCTAGAGGTGTGACATATTTTATGGATGAACCCTAAGTAGGCACAAAAAATTATACATTTAAATATTTTTTTATTTGTTTAAAATTTAATAAACGCAAAAAAACGAAATAGTTCTTGTACCATTATGTGTTGTATAAAAACAATTTTTGTCTAATTTATTACCGTCATTTCTGTGAGAATAAATTAAATTGTAACAACGCAAAGCAAAAATCCAACATATGTTGACTTTTTCTTTAACTACTTATTAAACTTGTAATACAATTTTAATATTACACACTTTAAATTTGTGAAAGCTTAAAGTTTTTTATGCTTTTAAAATTTTACACCTAATCATAATCTGTCTTTTCTCATTATCCAATACAAAACGAATGAAATTTGATTTAATTATATAAATATATATGTTCCATATAAAATTTGCCCCCCCCCCCAAACTTTTCAACTAAATGGTTACATAAAAAATCCTAAAACATGTCAATTTTTACGACAGGGGGGACTACTTTTGACATTAATAATTTACTATTTTAAACAATTTTGGACATTTTCAAACATGTCATGTGTCAGCAATCGGCACTCGTTGATAATTATTGATAATTCTTTGACAATTCCTGTAGATCTTGTGGTGGAGTGGCATAAACTTTTAAAAAAGGAAAAAATCCAGCGGCGTAAGATCGACAGACCTAGGCGGCCACTCTACAGGACCTCTCCTACCTATCCACCAACTTGTTAGGCGAGCTTATTGATCCGACATTAACAGAAATTTTGCACGGTTCACCGAACACCGTTTTAACGAAAAAAATAGAACAACTTTGAAACATTAAAAAAAACTACTTACCAACTAAGTATTCAAAAAAAAGTAAAATGAAAATCTTCCATGTAGATCTGTCAAAAATTTTGTCAAAAAACTGTTTTTTTTTTAATACTTTCAGTTTTTTGGGTTGCTATATTTAAAATATGAATTATAATTTATTTCTTTAGTAGGTAATAAAAAAAGCATAATAAAGAAACTTTTTCTTTCTTAGTTTTTTATAATTTTGTCGATAATATATCAATTTTTTATTGAGGTTTGTATAGTTTAGACCACTGATATTTGACCTCGCATAAAAACATTATTTTTTTTTTGTTAAAAGTAGCCGCCAACTATAAGTGAGATTCGTATTAAAACTAATCCTCTTTTTTGCCTATATATACCGACTATTAAACATGCCTGGGTTTACAATTTGTTGCTTCGATTTTTATCTTGCCGCTGAATACAAAATATTATTTTTAATTCTGTGGTTAAAACTTGTAAATTGCGCCGGATTTGCTTCGAGTTTTTATCGATGTTTTTTACATGTAGACGTTTTTGTTCGAGTTCAAATGTTCAAAATGTCCCAGTTTTGTTCTTTATTCCACCACCAGAACTTCACCTTATGCTGGACATTGTACAAAAACTTTTTGATTCCCTAAACAGCAAATATCCAGAATTTGGGAGGCATGGTTGAAAAGTGCTGGAATCTGCTTTGACCATTATGGCATATTTAATGGCAATAATGCACGAAAACTACTAAAGTCATAAGCTTTGCTTTGTTTGGATGTTTTCTACCTACTGATTTATAATTCCTATTTTAGACAATGAATATATACCCGTATTTGAGGCGTTCAATCAAGTAGTTTCTGGCTGCTTTGGTCAAAACTTAGCACATTAATATAAAGACTACATAAAAGAATTTAAACTACAATCATCAAAAGCTGGAATTACATGTACACCAAAGATCCATGCTCTCATTTATCATGTTCCTCAATTTATTGAGCAAAGAGCCCTTGTTTCTTCTCAGAGCAAGCATCGGAGCAAGTTCATCATTCATTCAATATATTTTCCAGGAATTTTAATTTATCCAGAAATAACTTAGAAAAATATAATATGAACTTGCTTTGATGTCTGTGTGCATCTGTAGGCTTAGATTTATTTTGTTGTTTTTTACATTTTTGTTAAAGTTTATCAATTTTTACGTTTATAATTTTGAATAATGCATTCAGAAGAATAAAGTTTGAGTTTCCTACTATCGTATGAGTCTTTCAAATTAAAAATATTCTACAAATATTAACTTTGAGACAGTTAAAATATTATCAATATACGATACTACACATAAATTACGAAGAATTGATCGCTATTTCCCAAGATTTTCATTTTACTTTTTTTGAATACTTAGTTGGTAAGTATTTTTTTTTTAAATGTTTCAAAGTTGTTCTATTTTTTTCGTTAAAAACGGTGTTCGGTGAACCGTGTTTGAAAAACGACAATAATCTTTTCGAAAATCTGCTGACCTTTCAACATGACGGTGCACCCCCGCATTATGCTGCTTGACCGCGGCGTTTCTTAGATCAACATTTTCCAGGACGGTGGATAGGTATGCCACTCCGCCACAAGATCTACAGGAATTGTCAAAGAATTATTAATAATTATCAACGAGTGCAGATTGCTGACACAGGACGTGTTTAAAAATGTCCAAAATTGTTTTGAAAACAGGCTGTACGGAGGTCGGTGGAGGCCATTTTGAGCAGCTTATTCGCTAAGGTATTTTTTGTTGATCCTTTTTTTATTTTGCTTTCTTTAAATGTTTAATACTCAATTTCTCTGCTGTCAATCAACAGAAATTAAAACAAAGTACATCGTTGAATTCAGAATTGAATGCGCTTTTTCACGATGTGTAACTCCTAACCTAACCCCTTATGTTATTTAAGATTCTTGAAGGGGTTGCTCCCCCGCTTTAGAGTTTGAGTTTAAAATAGTAAACTTAATGTCAAAAGAAGTCCCCCCTGTCGTAGAAATTGACGTGTTTTAGGATTTTTTATAAAACCTTTTAGTTCAAAAGTTTTGGGGGGTGCACATTTTATATGGAACACCCTGTAACCGGCAAAAGTATGGAACAAATTCATTTAAAAATTTCATGTAATTAAAAAAAAAATCCTTGAACAGGTCGATTTTGTTTTTCTATTACGCACATTTTGATGTAACATTTTTAAATTTGGCACCATTTTTGTAGAAGCTATGACGTAATCGGCCATTTTTTTGAATTGCATCCCCAACTTTTTTTTGCAAATTCGAATAGAGTATGAAATTCTGGTTTTAGCAATATGCACATGTATACCTGTTGGGCTGATAGTTTTGGGTATTATTAAATTTCAAAGTTTGTGATTTAATTTTATTTATTTTCAAAAAATTACACCTTTTAACCAATTAAATGCTCGAATTGCCACCCGTTGGTTTCTTGGCAGTAAGCAAGCCTAAAATTCTCTTACGTTTTGAATGACTTCCGCACTGACAGCGACATTCTTCACTAATTTGATTTCTCAAGTATTCTAAATTTTGTGATCTGTTGATGTAGACTTTTGATTTAAGGTAGCCCCATAAGAAATAATCTAGAGGGGTGAGATCTGGAGATCTCAAGGGCCACTCTATTGGTCCTCGTCTTCCAATTCACCTTTCAGGAAAACAGGTGTCCAAAAAAGTACGGACAGGACGCGCATAGTGCAGAGGTGCCCCATCCTGCTGAAACCAAATAGTATTACTTGGAAGATTTGGATCTCCATCCTCGTTGAGACACATTTCCGCTAATGTAGAAAGAGTTTTAAAAAAATTCCAAATATCTTTGTCCTGTCAGATTCTCGTCAAAAAAGAAAGGACCTATGATCCGATTTTCCACTATTCCTGCCCAGACATTCACTTTTTTGCGGAAATTGAAAATGTGCCTCTACCATCCAATGAGGATTTTCTCTGCTCCAGTACCTACAATTTTGACATTTAAGCAGAAGGTAGCTTTGTCCGAAAAAAGTATTTTACGAGGAAAGTGTGGATTATTGTGACATAAATTCATCATCGTTTCACAAAATTGTAGTCTACGGTCCGGAACATCTTCTTCGTTGACTTCCTGCATGAGTCTAACTTTGTATGGATGGTACTTTTCTTTATTCATCAGACGTAATACTGAGCGTTGACTGACTTGACTTTCAGCTGTGACTAGGCAAGAAGCACTGTGATGATCTTCTACACATAACAAAATGTCAATTTTAGCGTCTTCACTAATTTTCGAGCGGCCAGGTTTTGGAATATCTTTGACATCTCCAGTCTCTCTAAATTTCTGTTCAATTTTACTAACAGTAGAACGAGTAATAGGTCGAGCTGGATACTTTGCATTAAACAAATCGCATGCTTCTTGTTGCGTTCTAGTTTTATTGCCACATCCTACGAGAATTTAAACCAGTGTTGCCACCCCTATTACTTAGGTAATAGATCTGTTACTTTTAGCAAAAATATATTACCCTATTACGAAACAATGTAAATCTAATACTTTTTTCTTTCCTAGTATGACATTTTTTTTAAATATTCTATTGTGGTCCTATTGTTGCCACTGGCAACTTGCCAGACAGCCCACAAAATATTATTGTCGCAGCGCATCAAAACTATTGTAGAATTAAATTTTTCTTGGTTTTTCTAATATAAGTGTTTTAAATCTTGTTATATATTTTAAATTTATTATTTAAAAAATAAATAAAAATAAAGAGTTAATTAAAATAAAATTATTGTTTATCCAAAATTTAAGACATGTGATTTCGTACATTGTACGTACGTATAATTATTATTCTAAAAAAAGGATAATTATTCTTTCTATGGAAATTTATCGTACGTCTGGCAACACTGCTTGAGTGTTTGACGTTTGTTGTGTGCTTAAATTTAAATAAAGTGGCCAGATTCTGTCAAAAAATAGAGGGACATTTTGTATGAAATTACCTTAATTACAAAATTGACACAATTATACAATGCAAAATGTAAATTTGACGTTACTCAATTGATTGTGTCATTTTTGTAGTAAAGATTAATTTGCACAAAATGTCCCGATTTTTTTGACAGAATCTGGTCACTTTATATTAAAATACCATAAGCATTATGCACAGATTATAAAGCATCATGTAAAAATTCAATTTTATTCTAATGACAACGGTAAAACGTCAAAGAATCAAAAAAATTTGAAATTACGAAAAAAAAGTTATAGGTGGCAACACTGATTTAAACTTCAATTTGCTGTGTTTCTGTCAAATGGGCCATACTTGGAAAGATTTAAAAACCGCTGAACACTTGACTAAGGGCCGGTTTATCAATGTACGGTTAAAATTGCAGTTAGTTATCTGGCAGATAATCTGCATGGATACCATTGTTCTCACATTGATATGGAATTTAACTGTCAGATAGACTAACTGGAACTTAAACAGAGATTGATAAACCGGCCCTAAAAGTTTTATTTTGTCAAAAAATCACTAAAAAAACTATAAATTTTTCACTTATAAAAATTAATATCTCCGAAACTATCAGCCCACAAGGTATACATAGCTTCCACAAAAATGGTGCCAAATATAAAAATGTTAGATCAAAATGTGCCTAATTGAAAAACAAAATCGACGTATTCAAGGATTTTTGTTTTTGAAAAATTACAGGAAATTTTTAAATTAATTTGTTCCATTCTTTTGCTGGTCTCAGGGTTTTCCATATAAAATTTGCACCCCCCCAAAACTTTTGAACTAAAAGGTTTTATAAAAAATCTTAAAACACGTCAATTTCTGGTGTCCCATAATTAATGGACAATACAGCAACTGTAGAAATATGAGGTCAAAAAAGGTCGATTAACACAAATATGTTAATAAAATGTTAATAATAAACGAGATATAGGGCGATACATGTGAGATCTGATTTTTGAAAATTTGTTAAATTTGGAAAACTATTTAATGTATCAAACTCAAATTTAGTACACAATAGTTTTTAAGGACGAGAAATACAAATTTGTCATATTTTTTTATGCTACTCCTAGAGGGCGCTAATGACACATGTCGGATTGGGTGAATTAATACTTAGTAAAGGCTTTGTTATCTATGGTAATAATGGAAACGCGTCGTATTTACTATAAAAACGCATCGAATTTACTGAAAAAACGCATTATAGTTTTTTGAATTTGGAAATGGTTTACATAGCTATTTTCATATTTAGCGAAAATTGGGAAAAGTATAAACTGAATTAGCCATTTTGAAACAAGCAAAAACTTTTAAAGAATGCATTTATCTCAAAAAATATATAATAAAAGCTTTTTCCTCTTATAGAAAGTTTGTAATAAAACTAAATATTAACAAAAAGTTTTGTAAACAATCAGTAAATTGCTTGTAAAGGTTCATTCTTGAAAATATTAAACCACTCTTGAAGAGTGACTCTTCTCCTATCTCCTATAAAGAAACCATTAATTTAGTTTATCCAGAGATGACCAATTACAGAAAATATTAATAGTAACTTATTTTATTGTATTTTCTACAATATTATATTGTTTAATGAATTTAAATTTTAATTATATATATATTTTGCAATTTTATTTCTGTTGAATCAAAATCAATTGTAATTTTTGTGAAATTCCTACAAAAATATATTTTTAAATATATATTTTTAAATTTACATTTTTAAATTTTTATAGGTTTTTGAGCATAGCAGGGTTGCAAAAATCATTTAATTCTAATTTAATATAATTTACAATATTTCTTTTATTTGATTAAAATTCATGTGCAAATTAGTTAAATAAAAAAATCTATTTTATGAATTGTGGCATTTTTATGAATAATTTTTTAAACGCAAAATTTAAATTTTTATTTTTATTCTTTGAGACATTTAAAGCAGAGTTTCTCTACCAATTTTTGAGTTTTCAAAACTAAGCAAGATATAGCATTTTTTGGTAAGCCCATCAGATTGCGTCATTTTTATTGTTCTTGAATTTATTTTACTTCAATTAAGTTAGAAGTAAAAGTTTGACTTAATTCTTGACTTTTTTTATTTAATTCAGAAATTAAATCACTGCGTTAATTCATTTGAATAAATTCATGCAACCCTAAAGCATGGTTATAAAAACGCTGTTTTTGAGTAATGACTAGAGATGTAAAAAAACGTTGTTTTTTTCGTTTTTTTTTCAAGTCCGCTACAATAAAGCATATTCTGTCAATAAATAACATCAATATTAAAAAATGGAGTAATTTTTCAAAATGAAATTTTGAGTAAAATGTATATTAATAATAAAGTGAAATGTAGAATATATTACATTTTTTATTATTGAAAATTTTGACAGAGACTAAAAAATCTGATTTCTTATTATTTTGTAGTTTCCACATAAGAAACCAATAACAATGTAAAACTTCTACACTAATGGAAAAAATTAAAGCATAACAAAAATCCAATTTTCTTGCGATTTTTCGGATAGCTGTATCTTCGTTAAAAATTGTCGTATTGGAGCCGTAATTTGAAGTTTCTAGTTTTGAGATTTTTAGATGAAAAAATTTTCAAAGCAACGTGTAACGCTCAACCAATGAATAAATGTACTACAATAATTCGCTATTGTTTTTTTGAAACAAAAAATGTCCATACTCTACATGATTTTAAAAAATCATGGTAGCTTTTTGGAAAATCAAGCGCTAAATCAAAAATATTATATGTAGGTAGTTACTTTTTTTAGGGCCAAATCAAAACAAGCGCCGCCCTTATTGGCCATTTTCTAAATGTTATTTTAGTCTATGAACTGGACTGGAAGCATAAAAAATTAGGCAAATGGGACTAATCTTGAAAAAAAACATTTGATAAAAAACAATAAAAAAAACCTGAAAAAAACAAAAAAACGGACCGTTTTTTTCATCTCTAGTAATGACGTATATCATGCAATGAATAATGTAAGTTTTTAATAACAATCATTTAAGTTAAAAAATTTATTTAGTGAGACTTTTCTAAATTCCTACATATAAAAAATATATCTAAAAAAATTATGGTTTAAATATTTTTTGTGGCAAAAGAAAAACAAAGAAATTACGTAACGGAGCACAAAAAAATTGATCATAAAATAATTCACCTAGTACTATTCCGACGCAGTCGTCTGGTTAACGGTTCGTAATCATCATCAACATCGTCAAGAAGCAACTGCACCTCTTGAAGCGTAATTTCTTGATTGACTGCGTCCTCTGGTGAGCAATCGTTGCAAAACCAAGCACCGTCAGGAACTTCATCAAGTGGCGGAGTTAGACAGAACAAATGAAAACCCAAATCGCAGCCATCACACAACAACATCCGATCCTCAAAGTCACATGAACAACAAATTTCGCATGAAGTCGGGTCTTCAATTATGTTAATTTCGTTTAGGGGCTGGGGTTTTTCTATTTGTATCTGGTTGACGACTTTACCTTGGACATTTTTTCTTACCAGAATGAGATTATACTCTCGTCTGTCCACTGGACATGTGTTCATGTTTTTCGACCATTCTTGCAAGCATTCCAGACAGAACATGTGGTCGCAGGTTTCTGGAGTTCCAACTTCTTGTTGCCTAAACGATAGCAAACAAATCGGGCATTTGTCTGATTCCCCATCACTTGAATCAGAATCCATATTTTTTTCTGGAATAGATGCTTTCTTTGCCAAAGCAGGTTGAGCTGCTTCTGGATCAGAGTCACTAAAATCTGTTTCCCACTGACTTTGAAAGCCACCATCCGAAGCATCGTCGCTATCAGATTCACTAAAATCACTGCTTATTCTAGCAGGTATTTTAGATCTGCGACCAATCAGCGACCCTGAGCTATCTGAGTCTGTATTACTGGTTACCCTCTGGAAAAGTATAACGATTAAATTAAAAATTAGATTTTCAAATTTTATGCTTTTCAATGTTTTTTTTGGTAGGTAATAAAAAACAAAGCAAATATGTATAAACCTTATAAAATTCAATTTATAATGGATACAACATTGTGTTTCAAAATTAGGGGATAATGAAAATGTTACCAATTATTATCATGATTTATCTTTAGTTTTAATTAGAGATGGAAAAATTCCCATTTAAAGAAAATTCCCGGAAACTTTCCATCGAAAATTCCCGAAATTTTCCGAAAGTTTCAAAAAAAAATTTTTTATTGCGAAAATATTTTTTTTTATGCCAGGGATTTGCAAAAATATATAACACATTAACTTTTTGTCAAATTTTATTAAGAAAAAAAATAAAAAAAATGTTTATAAGAATGTAACTGCAATACTATTTTTAGTATCTTTTACTTTGGAATATTCCTATTGTATACTGAAACCTACAAAATAAAAATAAAATGTTTACTATTAGAAATTCACTGCTAGTAAATCCTAGATATTACGTAAAAAAATTAAAAGGGACAAAGTAACTAATATATAGGAATATTGAAAAGTAAAAAGTAAAGTAAAAAATAATTCCAAACACTAGATTTTTTTCTTGGCATTGTGCTATGCCTATAAATAAACAACAAAAATGTAAAAATGATTTTAACTTTGTTTATTGTTTTTATTTTGTTTACCTTTTTTTAAAAAGTTTTTTGTGATGATGCTAAATAATCCGGCTTCATTGAGGTTATGTAACATAACTTACATTATAATATATATTATATACTTCTTCTGCTTTAAATTAACACACATTAAATTCTTATTCAAAGTTTCTTGGCCTTGTATCATGGCCTTAACGAAAATCAGCGGTTAAACAATTGACAATGTCAATTTGACATTTAAATGAAAAAAACAAGGAAAGTTTCCAAGGAATGTTTCCGTTAGCTTAAAAGAAACTTTCAAAATGAAAATAATTCCCAATTGGAAAATTTCCAAAACGGAAAGTTTCCTTAAAATGGAAACTTTCCGATTCCCATCTCTGGTTTTAATAGAGTAATTTTGCTGGTTTTTATTTTAAGAAATAAAATTTGCACCGCTAATAAGAACAAAAAAAAGAGTTACGTTACTAGAAATAAAAATCATTCAAAAGATTTTTTTAAATTTATTTATTCAAATATTTGTAATTTAATTGGAAAATGCCTTGGAGAAAAAAAAATTCTAAAATGTTTAAACTTAATATATCACATTGTTGGGGAGCGGGTTTAGAAAATTTTACGACCCCCCCCTTGTTACAAATGGTCACGTTTTGCTAGACTCCTCCCACCCCCTATAGCGTTCTTTAGGGACGATGATTTAAAACATTTTACTGGATTAAGTTCAGTCGCATTTGTATGTGTAAAGGGGTTTGTGACAATGTGTGGAAAGGAAGCGTATTTTGCACAACTCCTTATTCCATAAAATATTTTGAAATTTGAAAAGTAATCATTGTTTTCGGCCATTTAAAGCGCGCGAAACACACGAATTTCAAAACTGTTTTTATAAAAAAAATTGTAGATTATTTATTATATAATATTTTGGCATCAAAATTGTCAAAAATATTCTTCTTTTATTAGGTTATACATTAAATTAAAAAAAACGCAAGAAATATTTTATGAAAGTAGATATAATTTTAATAATTGAAAGGTGTGGACGGGACAAAAAAAAGATTTATCTTGTCCCGTCCACCCCTGTCAAATATTGAAATTATCTTTACTTTTATAAAAATATTTCTTGCGATTTTTTTATTTAATGTATAGCCTAATAATAGAAGAATATATTTGACAATTTTGATGCAAAAATAATATATAATAAATTACCTACAATTTTTTTTTATAAAAACAGTTTTGTGGTTTGTCCCGTCCATCCGCTTGAAATGGCCGTTTTATCATTTTCTCTGCATATTATTTATTATTTGGTTTACCTCATATACATTAAAAAACCTAGTACTCAACAAACCATTGGGGAAAACAGGCGATTGTTGAAAAATGAAAAAATTAGGTACACTTGACAACCAATGAAGTTTAAAAATAATTAATTATAAAAACTTGATTTACATTAGGGATGTCCCTGAGAATTAAATCGATTCCGAATCGATTGCTCCTAAAACGATTTTTAAAAAATCGATATGGAATTTATCATTCTGTTATTTTTCATGTACCTATCTAGAAATAAATTTGCATCCCAACTAGCACAGAAAGTCTTTGCAACGTAAACTCAACCACAATAGCTACCTACTTTAAAAGTGGTGATTACCAACTAAAGGCAAGTAGAAGGAACCGTTCCTTAGGAACGTTCGCATTAAGTATGCGGACCCTAAATGGGGAATGATTTTCTGGTTTAGGTCATGTTTCCGCGACGTACCAAAGACCACGGCAGCTACGTTTCCATTAGGTAAGTTGTAGGTTGGTGAGGCGACGCGTCGCGACGTGCCAAAATAATTTCTGAAATTTTTAAGAAATTACGCCTTTCTCCTACTCTTTCCGAACTGCTATTTCTTTCAAGCAAAACCTATAACGCAATACGTTTCGTTCTACAAAGTTCATGCTGTCCTTTTTTGAAGTCAGAATCTTTACGCATATATACGTAAATTAAATAGTAAAACGGCGTAGAGCCTCGCGAATTTAGAAAGTTCCAATTTATATATATACCTATTTATTCTTTATTACATTATACATTATCAAGCATTATTATAAATTCGAACTTTCTAAATTCGCGATGGTCCATGGCACGCCACTATTTAATTTTGATGCAAGAGCCCCTGCTGTAAATAGACGAAAAACGACAGGAACTGCAAAAATTATCACAATACACAATGTTGTAACACGTTAGGTGTAATATTAAAATTTAGGTATAATTGAAACCCTTTACTGTTAAGGCATTACAGTGTTTAATAAAATAAACTGTACAAAACATTAAATAATGTAAAGAATAATTTCCGATTAATTGAGCTAATATTTTCAAATACTGAAACATTGAAATAAATATTGCAGTATTAATAGCATTAGCGATTTAAAGCATCACATATTGCTTTGAATTAAATAATTTCTGCAGTAGGTACTTCTCTACATCTTGTACGTTGTAATAATTCTGGTACAGGCGTATTTGCAAGAAATGAAATACCTTTACAATTGATTACCATTGATTAATAACACAAGGAGCCCAAACTTAATAGGGGAAATTGACAAAACCTGCCCTCTAAATTGCACAAATTAAGTCTTTTTTTCACCACCAGCGGCGCTGATTGTTGATGCGTACTGATGTCTGCTCTTTTGGTAGCGTTTCTGTACAAATTAGTCAATTGTTTCAGAACAAACGGAACACCAGCGCCCTCTTATCTTAGAAAGATTCTTTTTTACATGAAGTTCGGACTCATTGTGTAGGCTCCATGGCCTTTACCTTAAGATCTATTCAAGAAGACTGCACTGCAGCGAAGGAGGTGCCACGAGAGGGAAAGAAAATATTATTTCTCTTTCTCAATGTTCATGTTGGGCTAACTATTTAACTTCGTAAATATTTCTCCCTTACAAATTTTTTGTGACTCCAGTAGTTTCTGAGATAAGTATATGAGTCACCTTACGTGGACCACCCTGTACATAACATATGTCAAACGTCAAACCCGACGAAATGTCGCAAACTCAATGTAAGTACAGAACCATTAAATGCTTGAAAAAAGCATATACAACACAGCAGAGAAAGCATATTAACTGCCTTGCTCAGATCTGCAGCCTACCATTAATTACGTGAGATAAAAATAGGGGGGGTCTAGCAAAATCTCACCAAATCTCATGTTAAGGGAGGAGGGGTTATTTAAAATCTCACGTCAACTTTAGGGTTCAAAGAATAGAAGTATTATAATTCAAATTTATCAAAAAAAAGTACCCAATCAATTTTTTTTGGTTTATCATGTTGTCCGCAATGAAAGTTTAATGGCTAGAATCTCACTTGAGGGATAGGGGGGGTCTACAACATCTCAACAAATCTACCCAAGGGGTCCAAATTTTAACCAAATTGAGTTGGCAGGAATTGCAATGTTGTCATGTTTAGATTAAAATTTCGCTTAATAAAATGACGCATAGAAAAAGAAGTTTTAAAATTTCGAAGCTGTCAGTTGTGTTTTTAAATATTTCGTTTAATTCGTGTATAATTTCGTTTATTTTGTTTGTTGTTTTTGTTATTTTATATAGTTTAAGTTTTCATTGCCGTTTTTGTGTTTCTTATATAGATATCGTTTTTCCTATAGGTATTTAAAATGCCGACGCATTTAAATAGTCGGAGTCAAGAGTTGGTAATACCAACTTGGTATCATCCTTAATAGGCTATTTTGAGGCAGAACGAGATAATAATGGACCTTTGTTACCTATAACAGCTGTTAGAGAGGTAAATAGGATTATTATTAATTATATGTATATTAGGGTGGAGCGAAAAAAAGAAAAAAAAATTTTTTCCTTAGCCTGGGGGTGGAATTTGTAGCCTATAAAAAAAGAAAATTTTTGAAATAAAAAAAAAATTTTACTCAACGTCTTGAGGTGGCCCACTGATTTTTTAAATTAAATTTAAGTTAAAATTCTTTTGAATAAAAAAAAAATTTCAAAAGTGTTCCGGAAACTGCGGAGTGTCCTCTTTCTTGCTAATTAACAGTTATGTTTATGAAAAAAATTTGTGGTCATTATTGTTGTTTTTAAAAAAATTCCAAAATAGTAACATGCTTTTCTGAGGCAATAGAGCGAATTTCGAGTTGAACACGATCAAATTTGTTTATTTTTAGATAAATTTGAAGATTACAAGCCAAAAAATTTTTTTTTTTATTCAAAAGAATTTTAACTTAAATTTAATTTAAAAAATCAGTGGGCCACCTCAAGAGGTTGAGTAAAAATTTTTTTTTTTATTTCAAAAATTTTCTTTTTTTATAGGCTACAAATTCCACCCCCAGGCTAAGGAAAAAAAAATTTTCGCTCCACCCTAATGTATATTAGAATATTTAACAGAATATATGTTGGATACATAAAATAAGAATATATATACCAGAGACTGACTTTAGATGGCAATAATTTCTGGATTTTATAGCTGAAAATGTCTTTAAAAATGACTGAAACATAATTTTGGCGGTGCATCATATAGGTTATATAAACTCTGACTTTTGACATTTTGGTATTATTCATGTAAACGCCATCTATCGCCCTGTAGTTGCACTACCACTTTCACTTGATGCAATGATTTTAGCATCACATTGACAACCGTGCCCGATCAGCTGATTGATGACGTGTACGTCGTTTCCTTTTGAATTTACTATACTATTTTCTACTCCTATTGCATGTTATTGACATTATTTGGGTTTTTTTCCTTAAATAACGGTAACCAATATAACCGCCCTGCCGAATAGCGGCAATAATGAACTTATTATTCACGTTGTTAGGTATCAGTGATTGGCTGATTTCAATATTCACTGTTATTTGAATTTAACTAATCGGGTTTTAAATTGGGAAAAAGTAAGGTTAACAGATGTTAAATTTTTTTTATATACGAGGGGCACTATAATGATCGGGAAAAAGTGAGGTTATAATAAATTTTGTAATTAATGAAAAATACTCAATTGGAGTAGAAAAAGCATAATATTACACTCGAAATAATGCGGATGATTTACGCAAACCTCATCTTTGTGAATAATGCCTGCATTATCTCTCGTATATTAATAATACACTATTATTAATAATAAATCGATTTATTAAAATAATCTGTTCAGTAAATCAATTTAAAAATTGATTAACTTGGCACATCCCTACTTTACATAACATAAAAGCATAATAGTTATTTGTTTTACAAGTGTTGAAAAGCAACTTTTGCATGAGCAAGTGTTTAAGTTGCTCACGAGGCCGTTAGGCCGAGTGTGCATTAACACGAGCTTAACATAAAGTGACATTTCTGTGTGAAAAGTGACAACTCTGTGTGAAAAGAAATTGACAGCATCGTTTGACATTTGTTTCAAAATTTGTATTGTATTTGTATGTGTATGTCTAAATATCATTTAGAACACAATTAATTGTGTTTGTATAATAAATTCTAATTTTTAGTGGCTTTATTTAAATTGATTTATTGATTTTTAGTAACTTATACCTTAAAAATTAAAATAATAAGATAAAAGTAATTCTACGACCCTTTTATCTTTTATTATTTTTTTTCAAATACAAAACAAAATAACCTAAAAACGTGTTTGACAGCTGTTTAAATTAATTTCATCTTATTCTTTTAACTTTTAAGGTATAAGTTACTTAAAATCAATAAACTTACCTTCCCAATTTAAATAAAGGCACTAAAAATTAGAATTTAGTATACAAACACAATTAACTGTGTTCTAAATGATATTTAGACAAACATACAAATACAATACAAATTTTGAAAATAATGTCAAAGGATGCTGTCAATTTCTTTTCACACAGACCTGTCACTTTTCACACAGAAATGTCACTTTTCATTTGTGTTTTGCCTTGCAAATGAAAAGATTTATTTTCCAAGCAACAATGCCATTACAAAATCTGACTTTTAAATATATAGTGGTCATAGAAAAAATATTTTAAAGTGCTACACTGGAAAGCTATGATTTTTTACAGTTTTTTTTAGTTATAATTTTAAAAAATGGTACAAATTCCAATATACCCTAATTATTTTAAAACGCGTGTAATTAATCAAATTTGAAATTATGTGATTGAATCAAATTTAATGCTTATAAATGCACCATTATTATCTGCGTATAAATGTTAACATATTGACAAGAAAACAAAACGAATAGGTACCTATAGAAGTTCTAAAAGTGTTTCCATTTATTAAATTTAAAAGAAATTTTACGATGAATAGGTAACCAAGCCAAAAACATCTATTTACTTATTAATAAAAAGGTTTAAAATGCGCAATTAATTAACATCATAAATAGGTAAAATAGAATTTGTATACATACCAATGGTCTTTTTCTTTTAAAGACAACAATAGAAGAACTTCCACTTTCAGAATCAGAGGATGAGTCTGGTAATGGATTTCTTCCCGAGCTGACTCTTCTTCTAACATTTTCAATTGAACTATCAGCACTGCTGCTACTCGAAGGAGAACTATCATGTAAAACTCGTTTACGTTCATCAAAACTCTCGGCATCACTACTAGCGTTACTCATTTTTATAAAGCTTTATTATATCATTTATTATTTACTTAAAACTACCCTATGTTAACACTTATTTAGAATTAATAATTACACTATTATTATAATAAATTACTTGAGGTTTATGAACAATTATCGAGAAAAATTAATACTTCGTGAAAGAAGCCATTTATTTTTGACGTCCCTTTAACGTAGCTACCTGAGTGCGCGGTGTTGCCAAACCTACTGTATTTAAAATAGATCTTTTGCCTAAAATATTTAAAAAAAATAAATAATATATTAAATAAATATAAATCATATATCATATTATTAAGTAAATACAATAATAGTCTAATACAAATAAATATACTATGGGACTATGTCTATAACATTTCTTTAACAAAGAAAGATGGCTATCTAGTGGACGCGTAACCACAACGTTAAAAAAGTTTTTTAACGTTGTGGTTTTTTAAATGAACTGAACCAAACTGTCAACAGTTTCATGCATAATTTAATTTTAAATTAGATCGTTTTCAATGAAAGACCCCATATTGGTTCTCTTAGAAACTGGTTTAACAAAGACTGATTAAAATAAATACATGAATTTATTACCTTAAATCAATATTATAGATCTTTACCCCCACATGTGAAAGATGTTACCTGTAAAAGGTTATTTTACCTTTGAAAGGTTATTCCAGGCTCTTTATTCTAGTAATTATGTATAAAATGCATAAAATCCATGGATGTTATGCATAACATTCATGGATGGTATGCATAATCCATAGAAGAACAAACCACCATTGTATTTAAACAATAACACACAAAACAAACTTGTCGCTTTGAGGTTAAGTATTTTAACACTTCACTTCAATACACAGCAGTAGGCGTTACGCGTCTAGTATACGCCTTCTACTCTTTTAAAATGTCTAGGTACCTATGTAAAATTCGATATCTGACAGATCTATCTAACCACACTTTATAGTTTATATAATAATTGTCATATACCTATAACTTATAGTTATAGGTATTTGATAATTGAACGTTTTATTTATCGTTGACACATGCCTTAATTTATAGACTGATTGAAGATAAAATGTTTCATGTCATTCGTCCAAAAAGGTCTTTTTGGAAGTACTTCGCTCAATTGAGCTCAGCTCTTAATTAAATAACTAATAACTTTATTTCACGAAATTTATTAGACTACCTGGCCGAGAAATAAATCTGGCAACGCTGCTATTTACGTGCTACGATTCGTAGACTGACTTTTAAAAATCTGTAAGCGCATGTGCCACAATTTTCGTAGAACAAAATGTCGAATTCGTAGCTTTCTTTCCTTTTGACGTCGTGCTTCACTGTAGCCGTTCTGTGATTACAAAAACTTATAAAAATGGGTCGTATGCACGCACCTGGGTAAGATAATTCTGTATTTCTGTAAAGCAATGCCATCTTCAATTATGTGAAAAAAAATTTAAATTCATGGCTTTAAATTAATTAAAATAGCAATAATATTGCCGATTTGAGGTTATGATACCTCGTGTTTTCACAGCAAATGAGTCTATAAAATATTATTTTCGTTTTCAGCAAGGGAATTGCCCAATCAGCCCTTCCATACAGACGTAGCGTACCAACATGGCTTAAAGTAACCCCAGATGAGGTTAAAGACCATATTTTCAAACTTGGAAAGAAAGGTTTAACCCCATCCCAAATTGGTATGTTTTTTAAATTAAAAACAAATTCAATTTATTTTGTATTTTAATATAAAAAGTTCTAAATTTACCAAAATAACATAATATGTTATTATCCCAAAATTGGAAATTTTTTTAATTGATTTTTTGTTTCTTATGGAACGCCGTTGTATTTTTTAATTAGGAATTTCTAATATCACTAGAATTTCAGATATCTGAAATTAATTTCAGATATCTAAAATTATAGGTATTAAAAAGTACTTTGGTGTTCCGTTAACGCCAAAATATTTTTTAATCAGGAATTTTTGTTGTAACTTCAACTAATAGTCATATTTGTAATTACATTTAATTGTGTCAACTGTTTTAAACAATATTTATAATTCAACTAATTTTAAACTCAAAAATAATGTGGAATTAAAAATATCAAAGTGACCCTAAAATTAAAGTCAATTTTTAATTCAAAGTGATATTTGTAATTCACAGGAATTATCGATATCAAAGTGACCAGAAAATTCAAGTTAATTTTTAATTCAAACTGATATTCATAATTCGCATGAATTTTTAATTCAACTTATTTTCAAATAAAAAATGATGTAGAATTAAAACATTAAAGGGAAACTAAGAATTATTTGATATTTTTAAATGAAAGACATATTTTTAATTCCCACAGTTTGGACACCCCTGGTAATGTTGACGGTTCAATTTATCTACTACAGTAGCTTTAATCTCAGTTAAATTATTTTGCGGCACTGTTTGTTTATATAATACCGTTTTTATTAATAATAGGCATAATAATTAATATTAATTAAATTACCTAATATTTTAAATATACCGTTTTTATTAATAATAGGCATAATAATTAATATTAATTAAATTACCTTATATTTTAAATATTAGGTAATTTAATTAATAATAATTATTATGCCTATTATTAATAAAAACGGTATTATATAAACAAACAGTGCCGCAAAATAATTTAACTGAGATTAAAGCAAATATACCTACTGTAGTAGATAAATTGAACCGTCAACATTACCAGGGGTGTCCAAACTGTGGGAATTAAAAATATGTCTTTCATTTAAAAATATCAAATATTTCTTAGTTTCCCTTTAATATTTTAATTCTACATCATTTTATAGTTGAAAATAAGTTGAATTAAAAATTCAAGTTGATATTTATAATTCATGCGAATTATGAATATCAGTTTGAATTAAAAATTAACTTGAATTTTCTGGTCACTTTGATATCAATAATTCCTGTGAATTACAAATATCACTTTGAATTAAAAATTGACTTTAATTTTAGTGTCACTTTGATATTTTTAATTCCACATTATTTTTGAGTATACAATTAGTTGAGTTATAAATATTGTTTAAAATAATCGATACAATTAAAAATATGACTAGCAGTTGGAACAAAAATTCCTGATTAAAAAATACAACGGCGTTCCATAGTTGCTCAATGGATTTTAGGATTGTATCTTAATTTTTTTAGAGTCGCGACTAATTAGCCAAAAAGTTAAGTACAAAACGTAGTGACCCCCTCTACAATATGTTCATTTGGCATTTAAAATTCACATTCATTTAAAATTTAATAAATATTTAAATTTTATTATATTTATTAGGAAATATTAAAAATTGTTAAATTTTAATTGCTAACAATTACTTAAACAATTGCAACTGAGAATTGATACTTAAAACAAAAAAAGGTTATTAGAAAATTAAATCAATGTTAGTAGCCTATCAGAGTATTTTTTTTGTCAGTGTTCTCAGGATTTGTTTGGTATATCAACGGTTCTATCACAGTGAAGTTATGATTTTTATTTGTAAATTTTTTTCCAAGGCATACCAGTCTTGTTTGTATGGGTTGCATTTTAGTGATGCAGGAAAGGAAGGGATTCATTGGATGGGTTAAATAAAGGGTTTTGGGGGTGTCGAGTTTTTCTGATTTTCCTCAGACTTGTACGTTTTCCTATTTTAATGTTTGAGAGGGTCAGTTTTCTGCAATTTTGAAGAAGTGCAGATCCATAATCCAACACTGGCCAACAGATTAGTTTATAAATGGATGCAGCCGTTTTAATATTTATGCCCTGGTCTTTATATGTAAGGCTTCTGGGCCATTCCACGCTTAACGGATAGGACAGTTGCCGTGTTTTTATTTACAAAATAATATTGTTCTATTATATTACCAATGTCAAATTTTTATAAATAGTTCTAAACAAAAGCTGTTTAACAAGGTTTTATTTGGCAAAATTAGGTATCGTGATTGACTGTTTAATTCCTTAAAAATTAATAATTTAAAGCGTAACGGGCGGGACTATTACAAAGTCCCGTCCGTTACGCTTTAAATTATTAGTTTTTAAGGAATTAAACAGTCAACCACGATACCTAATTTTGCCAAATAAAAACCTTGTTAAACAGCTTTAGTTTAGAACTATTTATAAAAATTTTACATTGGTAATATAATAGAACAATATTATTTTGTAAATAAAAACACGGCAACTGTCCTATCCGTTACGCGTGGAATGGCCCTTCTAAATTGTTTTGCCCTATTTACAATACTTTTCTTGGACTTGCTAATATGTTCTTTAAAGTCTAGCTTGGTGTCTATTGTAATTCCCAGGTTATGATATGATGTTGATGTGGGTGAATTTGATTTAATTTTGTGGTGAAACAGTAAAAGGTGCGATTTTGATGGGCTAGGCAAAATTCTCCACTTGGACATCCATGCTAATACCTGGTCAGTTAGTTCCTATAGTTTTAAAATTCTGTTGTCATTTTGCCATGGGTTATTAAAACTGTATCATTAGCAAATTGTAGAATATAACTCTGGTTTATGTACAGGGAATTGGGGTTGTACATGTCATAACAATATAAGTTATATAAAATTGGTGACAACAGTGATCCTTGGTACACCTTGTTCTGGTGAGAAGGACTAGGATAATTTTTTGCCAATTTTAACTTGTAATTTTCTTTGTGTGAGAAATTCCTTTATAAACCATACCAGATATTTCGGACATTCCAGTGTTTTTTCAGCAACCCATAGTGCCATACAGATTCAAAGGCTTATATAATCATATCCATAAAAAGTGCTGCCAATTTATTCCCTTCTTTGCTTTTAGATTGTACATTTGATGTTAGTATAATTAGTGGGTGTATTGTTGAGATTTTCTTTTTAAATCTGAATTATTATAAAGATATTTTGTGTCCAAGCTATTTTTAATTATTTTTTCGGTTTTTCCAATTACGGTCAATAAGGTGATGGGCCAGTAGTTTGCAGGGATAGTGTGATCCTCATTAGGTCTGGGGATGGTAATAATTAATCTTTTTTCCATTTAATAATAAAGTAAAGTAGTTATTAAGTAGGCAGAGGTTAAAAATTTGAATTATTTTATCATGAATTTCCTGATTACTTTATTTTATTATGTTATTACTAGGTATTCAAACTTAATATTAACAAGTTGGTACTATTAAATTACTTTTACTTTTAAATTTTTTAAGCCACTTAACACTTGTTTTTATTTAAAATACCCCCCGGTTAAGAAACAATGGTGTAGAGTAATGTTTTGGCTGACTTAATTTTTTTTAGAAAATATTTTCTAAAACTAAAACTTTATTTAAAGTTTTATAATATTTACCTATATACCAATATTATAATATTATTAATAGTAGAAACAATTTTTCATAAGAACTGTTCATCTAATTGTATCTAAATATTGTGAGATACTAGATTTTGTGTAAATATCACTTAAAGGTTTTAAGTTAGTTATTTTTGTTGGTCTTTAACTTCATTTTAAAAAATTGTTAAATAACACATTTTTGTTTCGTATAAGTTTGTGATACCAATTTTAACCAATTTTAGGTGTAATTCTTAGGGATTCCTATGGAGTAGCACAAGTAAGATTTGTTTCTGGAAACAAAATCTTACGTCTCATGAAAGCCATGGGGCTTGCTCCCGATCTACCAGAGGATTTATACTACCTTATTAAAAAGGCTGTAGCTATCCGTAAACATTTGGAACGTAACAGGAAAGACAAGGACAGCAAATTCCGTCTGATTTTGGTAGAATCCCGTATTCACCGTTTGGCTAGATACTACAAAACAAAGAGTGTTTTGGCTCCAAACTGGAAATATGAATCAAGCACAGCCTCTGCTTTAGTGGCTTAAGTTAAGATGTACTTTGTTTTATAACAATAAAATTTAAAAAAAAAAACTTTTTATTTAACTTTCTGAGAATTTAAGTAACAGCTCCATATAAATTTAATTTATAATTATGCATTTTTGGATGTTTATTATTTCTTTTTTATGTATAAACCTATTGTAGAGAGAAGAGTAACAATGCACATAAACACCCTGTATGGCATTATATTAAATATAAAAAAATGCAAAATAACTAATTACAAAAAAGCGAAAAACAACTGAATAAAAAGTATACATATATCTAGCCGATTGCAAAATAAAAAATAAAATCTTTATTCTAATTTATTCTTGAGAAACGCAAACGATATGGATTTAAAATTTTAATATCATATACAATTTTATTTAGACTATACCTAAAGTCAATAGTTTTCAAGATATTAATTTTTTTCGTTAACATTTTGCTAAATGAGCGTTAATCAAAAATAGCCCCTAATTTTTTGTTATTATGTTTGCTGACATGGGGTTGTAATTTTTGAAAATTAAAACATTGTTTAAATAGTTTCGTTTTGTATTATAATAACAGTTTCCTAAAGTTAAAATTTCAGAGACATTTAACAATTCCTAACACTTTCAATACTATTTTGTATCGATAAACCTGTGAAATTCTACATGTGGGTTAATGTGATAGTGGTTACCACCAAATCTGTCATTGTTTAAAATTAATTAAAATATTTGATTTAAAAATTAATAACTAAAAAAATGTTAACTTTATACGTATAGGATATGGTATTTTACTCAGAATTTTATCTAGAATTAAAAAATGTAAAAATTTATGAGGTGTCCTGTTTAAAATAACAAAGTTAAAGACATTTCCGGTAAAAAAGTATTATTTTCTTCAAAATAATTTAGGAAAAACGTCTAAATCGAATAATTTACGCTATTAAAATTTTAAATCGATGACTTTCGCGATTCCCTAGAAACTTCTAACGGACTACATATGTGAAACACCTTGTATATTAAACGTCATTTATGTGTTATGCTATAATTAATTATTAATAAAAGATACAATATTTGTATAAAAATGACAAAATGTACTAAACTAAAAATTTATGAATACTGCTACTTCTAATTCAAAACTGATCCTGACCACAAAAACATAATTTGCATAAAAAAGTTAATATATCAAATAAAAGTCAAATATCAATACTTTAACGCGTTATACTCAAATTTATAGAACAAAGTTGCTTCTTCGATTATTTACCCTTTAAAAATTGTTAAATTTTAAATTAAATTATCACCAGCGCCCCCTGTACGTTACAATCTAAACAAGTTTTTTTCGGGGAAGAATTGTCACACACCCACTGTTGCCACGTTTCTCCGCGTCGTCTGTCAAACAAAACTATTAAGTCGTTTTTTTCGCGTAAATACTATGTAATACTACGGTTAAATAAGTCATGACGTCACAGTTAATTCGTATAACCATGGTTAGGTTTCTAACATTTGACATTTGTTTACTTGTTCATAACCTATAATTTTTGAAATGTGTTTTTACCTATTATATTTAATTTCTATGCTTTTACCGGTGTAAATAAATTTCTTTGCCTCTTCTTATACCTAGTATATTCTTTTTCTATACTAGTTTTTTCAATACACGTTATCCAATTCTCCTACATGTTTAATACAAAATAAGGAAGAATATAAAACAAACCTGCATATAATTCCTCCACTTCTTGTGGAGATTCCACAATATGGAGCACCCTATCATTTATTTTTACTGACAACACCCCGTTTACCAATTTAATACAAAGTTTAAATTCGGTTTAAGAGCAATTGTACCCAAAGATATTATCTTTGATTGTACCTTTAGTCGTTTTTTCGCGTAAATACCATGAAATACTATGGTTATTAAACTTAACCTTGGTTAATAGTTAAGGCATTTTTGCGTTTAGAGTGCGTTCAAAAATCCTAACTATGACGTCACAAATACCAGACCATAAAACTATATCGCTGAGCTAGTTATTCAACGTGGTTAATAGTCTTTCTCTTTTTAATATATATTTTTCTGTTTCGATCTGTCAAAAAGTTGTTTACATTTGAAATTTAAAATATTTTAAGTAGGTACAATTGCTCTTAAACCGAATTTAAACTTTGTATTAAAATGGTAAACGGGATGTTGTCAGTAAAAATAAATGATAGGGTGCTCCATATTGTGGAATCTCCACAAGTGGAGGAATTATATGCAGGTTTGTTTTATATTCTTCCTTATTTTGTATTAAACATGTAGGAGAATTTGGATAACGTGTATTGAAAAAACTAGTACCTATAGAAAAAGAATATACTAGGTATAAGAAGAGGCAAAGAAATTTATTTACACCGGTAAAAGCATAGAAATTAAATATAAATAGGTAAAAACACATTTAAAAAATTATAGGTTATGAACAAGTAAACAAATGTCAAATGTTAGAAACCTAACCATGAATTAACTGTGACGTCATGACTTATTTAACCGTAGTATTACATAGTATTTACGCGAAAAAACGACTTTTATAATCTGTGATTGTACCTACTTAAAATATTTTAAATTACTTTTTGACGTCAAATGTAAACAACTTTTTGACAGATCGAAACAGAAAAATATATATTAAAAAGAGAAAGACTATTAACCACGTTGAATAACTAGCTCAGCGATATAGTTTTATGGTCTGGTATTTGTGTCGTCATAGTTAGGATTTTTGAACGCACTCTAAACGCAAAAATGCCTTAACTATTAACCAAGGTTAAGTTTAATAACCATAGTATTTCATGGTATTTACGCGAAAAAACGACTTTAAACGTAAACAAATCTTTAACCTAATTTCTTATACGAAATGTCATTATTATTATTATTATCTATGATGTCTGTACTGTGTAAATTTGTTACGTCATAATTATAATCCGTTTTTGTTCCCCGAGCGTTTAACATTTGACATCAAGCTAGATAGCTCAGATGGTAGGGCGGTCGCTTGGCAACCAACCCAACCCAACCGAACACTGTTTAACAAAGAAACAACAAATTTATTAAATAAAAAAAATAAAAAAAGTTCGACGGCTTTTTAGTATCGAACCCGGGACCTCTCGCATGCCAAGCGACCGCAAATCAAATCAAAAATATTTATTCATGTTCTTGTATAAAATATAAATTGTAAAAATAATTTCAGGTATAAATAATTATTTAAGTGGTGTATAAATAAAATGAACAAAACAAATGTGCCTGGCACGTAATGTCCATCATAAATTATAATTTATAAAAAAGCATAAACTGACAGTCTCTAATTTTTACACGCAAAACATCTAAACAATATTGCCCCTGTATCGGATGAGCGAAGGGAATGGCGAGCTGCGAGACAATTTTAAATTGTATCATGGTTTCGGGTAGGCCAAAACATCGGCCAGGGGGGTTGCTATATTGCGCTACAGCGTACATATAGTGGCCTCCTTTATGATGAACATTACGTGCCAGGCACATTTGTTTTGTTCATTTTATTTATACACCACTTATTTATACCTGAAATTATTTTTACAATTTAGGTATATTTTATACAAGAACATGAATAAATATTTTTGATTTGATTTGATTTGCGGTCGCTTGGCATGCGAGAGGTCCCGGGTTCGATACTAAAAAGCCGTCGAACTTTTTTTATTTTTTTTATTTAATAAATTTGTTGTTTCTTTGTTAAACAGTGTTCGGTTGGGTTGGTTGGTTTGTTTTAGTTTTATCGTAACATAAATTTGCCCATTTTAGTTGGGTTTTTTGCTCAATGGGGCGGGGGGCCCAATGGGGCGGGGTCGGTTGGGTTGTGTTGTTGAGTTTGGGTTGGGTTGGTTTGGTTTTATGGTTTTAATAGTTTTGTTTGACAGATGACGCGGAGAAACGTGGCAACAGTGGGTGTTCCCTGGGTTAATTAACTTCTCGTCTACATTTTGTCCAAATTTCAAATCGATACGTTTTGAAATAAAAAAGTTCTTTAAAAAACTTAACCCGTAACCGGTACGGTACGACTTTCAGGTCATAAACGGTACTAAGGGGTCTGAGAGACACCTACCTTTTAAAATTATTATTTATATTATTTTTTTATCTGAGGTTTTGGGGATATTAGGGACTATATATAAAGTTAGAATGCCACCAAAAATAAAACCTAATTAAAAGAAAAATTTAAACAAATAGGTTTTAATCAAAACATGTACAGAAAGTGCAGTAGTGCAAACTTTGTGATTAAACTATAAAAAATATTAAACCAAACAAAATAAAACGATCTTTATTTCGAAGAATATACCTTAAAAAATAACATAAACAAAAAAAATCTAATATATCTTTTTTTAACAGCAAAAATAACTGCTTCAAACTATAGCTGATTTTTACAATTATTTTTTCCATAGTAACTTTTTGTTTTTTTTTCAAATTCTTAAAAAATTTCAAATTCTTCACTATCTTCTGACCCTATAAAATTATTTTCTATAAAATCTTCACAGACAAGTCCTGAATCGCTGCTGTGATTATCTTCAACGACATAATCACTATAATGGTTATGTAGTATACTACAGTCATCTATATCACTTATATCGCTGTCGATTTCATAAAACCACTACAGTACAGTTTCCTTGAAGCGGCTTCAAGCCCTTCTTATCACTTTGGACACGTTTAGAAGGCCCTTGTTGCGAATCCATAACGAATTAATTGTTTTATAAAAATAACGTAAACGGTACGCAGTGGTCTACTAGACACCTCAACAACTTTGACTCGTAATAATTTGTCCGTTTGACAATCCAACCTGTTCAAAGTCTGAGAGCATATTAATAACTGTTCAACTTAAAAGTATTGGAAGCGACAGATTTTTAAAACAAAAGGTGAGGGTGTGACAGCGCTTTGTTCGTTGATGAGTGTCTCCCAGACACCACAGTACCGGTTACGGGTTATATTTCTTCATTTTTAAGTTAAAACACAGTGAAGAAATAAATAAAAATAAAAACAAAGTTTCCTATTGTAAATGACCAATATATTGAGCCTCAATAATTGAGAATATATATATATAGAAACCAATAAAAAATAAGTAATTGGTTTGAATTGGTTTGAAATGTGTTTTGGCGCTATGAATCACCAATTCATTCCAGTTGAATTCCTATTGGTAATTTACAATGAAGTCAGCGGCTTGAATTGGAAAATACCAACCCATGCCTACGCTTGTCTC